GGTTCAAAAATCGTTGTCCTATGATGCACCATTTCACCCAATTAAAGGTCATGACAAGTGTTTTAGTGGCATATAGACCAGGGGTCTTCAAACTTGGCCCTTTTATGACTTGTGGAGTTCAACTCCCAGAATTCCTCAGCCAGCGTGTCTGCCTGAGGAATTCTGGGAGTTGAAGTCCACAGGTCATAAAAGGGCCAAGTTTGAAGACCCCTGATATAGATACATCCTGTGTTAGAAGTCCTTCCCACTTTATATTGGTCTCTAATCAGTAAGGTTATTCTATCTCCATATGTAGATGATTTCATTACATACTAGCATTCATTGGGAAGATAGGGACAGACAGTACCATTTGTACCATCAGAAATAAGGGTGTCAGATGTATGTCTAGGAGAGAAATATTTTTAAGGAACCTTAGAAAATGTACCTAATACTCCTACCTCTTATTTTCCCCAAAACAACAACCCGGTGAGGTGAGGTGAGCAGAGAGAGAATGTCTTTCAGTCACTCACCTAGCTGGCTTTTATACCTAATGGAGGCATAGAATTCAGTCTCTTGATTCCTAGCCCAGCATCTTAACTAATACCAAACTGGCTCTCAGTTTGTGGAAATATGTTACACAAATTTGATCAGATTGTGTGGTTTACAAAACATTCAGTATAAAGAATTATATATTTTGAACACTTTTCCTGGTTTCTGATCACACAGCATAAATATGCTGTTCCCCAAAAGCATTCTTAATCCCTTTCCTAGAATTCACGTAGGCTTTGCTTAATCAAAGAATATTTCAAAATTAACTCAGACACCTCTGTTGAGCAACAGCTGGCATGTTTTTGGTCTTATTTTCCCAATCCCTGACTGGCTGACTTACATTTTGAGTCATTTTAAAAACTGCTTAATAATATTGATGTTTGCTTACCCAGTTCTTGTCATCCATCTGCTGATGGTGATTCCATATTTAGATCTTGGGGGCGGGGAGGGATCAGCCTGCAGAAATTCTGTTCTGTGCCTTCTACCAGTTGCTGAGCTAATTGTTCTTTTTAAACAAGAATGCAAGATGCCAACAGAAAATAGTCATTTTCAATGGCTCCATAAATTTTACTATTGTATGCTCTGCATGCAGCCCATTAATCTATAAATAGACCATGCAGTTAAATGTATATTTTTAAAGCAGAAGCACACAGCACCTTTCAATCTTACATATCAGAAATCTTGAACTGAGGATTTTACGGTGGTCTTTTTTCACCACAGAGAATATAGAAATAAAATTTGTGCAAACAGGCTAGTTATATTGGCAAATCTCAAGTGCTTGGCTGCCTTATTCAGCTTAATTTCTAGATTCATCGAATACTGTACCCCAAAATGTGATTTCTTTAGTTCCAGCTTTGCATATTTTGACAATTTTATATTGTGATTTGTAAACAATGCTTTACGGTTGTACATTGTATATAAACTCAGCCATTGTGGCCTATGGAAAAATTGATTAAAATAAACTATGCTGGCATAGTGCTATATCTGGACTCAGAATATATACTACAGCAGGGCTTTTCAACCAGTGGTACGGGTACCACCTGTGGTACATTGGCACCTGGCAGGTGGTACGCAACCATCCTAGAAAAGTGGTAGCAGGGGAGGGGAATGAGCTGAACCGGTGGCAGCACCGCACAAGCCTGAGCGAGACGGCTGGAGCTGCAGGGCTGTCAGGACTCAGCAGAAGCGCCAGGATCAGTGCCGCTTTCCAGTTGATCGGGGCTTCTTCGGGGCTGTCAGGGTTCAGTGGAAGCGCCAGGATCAGCGCCAGGCTCCAGCTGGAACTCGGCACTGATCCTGGTGCTTCTGCTGAGCCCCTGAAGAAGCACCAATCAGCTGGAATGTTGCAGCCTCTCCAGGGTCTTGTGATGTACATTCAGATGCTTGGCAATTGATTCATATTTATGACGGTCACAGTGTCCCAGGGTCATGTGAAGTGACCAAAACCTGCTGCAACCACCCAGCAGACGGGGGGAATAAAAACCAAACACCCTCCCACCCCACCCCCGCTGCCAATCCTCAACAGAAATGCTCACAATAATGAAAACCTCGGACAGGAAGGAGAGTGCCGCCGGGCGGGCAGGCAGGTGTCTTGCTCGGCTGTGGCTTGGGGGGCACTTTTTTCAGTGCCATTGTAACTTTGAACAGTCATTAAGCGAACTGTTGTAAGTCGAGGACTACCTGTACTTTATTCCTTTTTTCCTTTTTTCCTTTTTTTTTGGTCATCAAGTTTTTGACACCTTGCTAGGCAACTGGTGGTACTCGGATATTGCCATATCCTAAAAGTGGTACAATGGTTGAAAAGCCCTGTACTACAGTATTTTGTCTGGATACTGCCTTCTTAACTTTTGTGTCTTCAGTTCCCTTAGCCCTCTATTAAACATCTTCAGAATTGTTTATCAATTAGGTCACACCTTGCCATCTTGTCACCAACAAAGTGTTCCTAAGCTGTCTATAAACTGCTAGCATTTAGAACATTTTTGTGAAATAGGCTTTACAGTGATTTCCGAACTGCCTTATAGGGTGATAAGTGCACCATAACCTGGTTTTGACAGAATAATGCCCATTTTTTTCTTTTTAGTTCTTTTGCATCCCCCTTTTCTCAGTTACGTGGCACTATTATTCTACAGAGACCTGCAAATTCTTTGAAAGAATAATTTAGAACAGGGGTCTTCAAACTTGGTTCTTTTATGACTTGTGGACTTCAACTCCCAGAATTCCTCAGCCAGGCACACTGGCTGAGGAATTCTGGGAGCTGAAGTCCACAAGTCATAAAAGGCCAAGTTTGAAGACCCCTGATTTAGAACATTAGAGGGTACCCTTCTTTTTAAGCACTTAAAGCAGCTGCCCCTGCTTTCAGCCTGCATCATACTGTAGTTCAGAGGTTGCTCCTCATGGTCTCTGCCTCCAGGTGCAGCTATGGCTATTTTGCTTTGTATTAGAATGCAGTGAAACAAAAGTGCCTGTGAATATTTGTGCATGTGGAGATAGTCAGGATTAAATGAACAGCTGGGCCAAAAGAACAATCAATCAATCAATCAATCAGAATAAAGCTGGAAGGGACTTTGGAGGTCTTCTAGTCCAATCCCTTGCTCAAGCAGGAGACCCTATACCAGTGATGGCGAACCTTTTAGAGACCAAGTGCCCAAAAACTGGCCCCACCCCCCTCCATCCCCTGCTCCGCTCCGCCCCGACCCCACCTGCCCACAAGGCCACTCACCGCCTCCAGGGCCCACCTCAGATCGCCCAGGCAGCCCAGCAGTGCCATGGCGGCCATGCCTTCTGCCCGGCCCCGCAGCATCAACTGTGCGCGATGGGGTGTGAGGGCAGAGTCTTGTCTATGCTGCCTGGCTGCTATGTCCTTGGCTGTGCTGCTCCGCATGGACCACGCTAAGGGGTGACTCTCCTCCAGGGGGGCTGCTGGTGAGAAGGGGGTCATGGGGAGGCAAGGCTGGGGCAACGGCATGTGTGCCCACAGAGAGGGCTCCGAGTGCCGCCTCTGGCACCCGTGCCATAGGTTCGCCACCACTGCCCTATACTATTTCAGACAGGTGGCTGCCCAGTCTTTTCTTAAAACCCTCCAGTGATGAAGCACTTACAACAACTGAAGCCAAGCTTTCCCACTTGTTAATTGTTCTCTCACTCTCAACTTTATAGGGAAGGGATCCCCAAGCCCCAATCTGTAGGCCAGCACCGGTCCACGGCATGCCCAGCAATTGGGCCACACAAACAAGCGAAGCCCCATCCGTGGAATGCAGGCAGTATGTAAAAAGCACGCTCTTTCTCCGTGGCCTGGTGCCCAAAAGATTGGCGGCCACTGTTATAGGGGATATGGTGGTACAGAAGCTTAATGACACCGGAACTGCTGACTTCAAGCCCAGGTTCATGAGACGGAGTGAGTTCCCATCGCCCGATCCCTAGCTCCTGCTCACCCAGAAGTTTGAAAGCAGGCAATATAGATAAGTAGATACATGGGTGGGGAAAAACTCTTTGCTATGTGTGCAGAGAGTGGAAGCTGGCCGGGTTCAGTGCCAGCTTCCACTCTCTGCACACATAGCAAAGGGATCCCTTCTCTATAAAGTTGAGAGTTTTTATATAGTGTCTAGAAAAATTGTCTGATACAATTTAACTGGAAATGTGAACAAGAGGAATGGATATTTCATCAAGTTTTGTGGACATATGACAAAGCTAGAAAATTTTGGATTAACCTACACCAGTGGTGGCGAACCTATGGCACACGTGCCAGAGGCGGCACTCGGAGCCCTCTCTGTGGGCACACGTGCCGTTGCCCCAGCCTTGCCTCCTCCCGTGACCCCCTCCTCATCAGCAGCCCCCCTGGAGGAGAGTCACCCCCGAGCATGGCCCATGCGGAGCAGCGCAGCCAAGGACATGGCAGCCAGGCAGCGTAGACAAGACTCTGCCCTCACACCCCATCACGCACAGTTGATGCTGTGGGGCGCGGGCAGAGGGCATGGCCACAATGGTGCTGCTAGGCTGCCTGGGCGATCTGCAGCAGGCCCTGGAAGCAGTGAGTGGCCCTGCGGGCAGGCGGGATGGGGGCGGGGCCAGTTTTGGGACACTCGGTCTCTAAAAGGTTCGCCATCACTGACCTACACTGATTCGGAGGATTTTAAATATTAATATACAATTGAGACCAGAAGGTTTTCTTTCTGAACGTATGGGCAGTTGCAAAAAACTTTGTATCAGTGCATGATAACTTCAGTGAGATAATTATATGCACAAAGATATATATATAAAAATTAATACTATGCTTGATGGGTGAAGATGATGGAACTTGCTCAGATGGGTAAGTTGACTTTTTCTGATCAAGAAAAGACAATATCGATACTATTGCTGACTGAAAACCCCTTATAGTTTTTTTTTGCATACAATAGAAACTTTGACATGATTGATTTCCACAGTTGGCTGGGCAACAAGTGATTACCTCTTAGTTTTGCCTTTCTTTTTTCTAGATAAAGAAGAGGCAACAAGGCATTGTGCAATTTCTAGAAGCCAACAAGATTGACTTTGAAGAAGTGGATATCACCATGTCAGAGGAGCAAAGGCGGTGGATGTATAAAAATATTCCTCAAGACAAACTGCCTGCACAAGGCAACCCACTGCCTCCCCAGATCTTCAGCAATGATGAGTACTGTGGAGTAAGTAACTTTCCAAAGTTTGTGGTTTGTTCATTTTGTTACAGAAGAAAAATGAGGCATGTGTGGACGATAACTCCAGATAGCATGAATATGGAGGGCATCATGATGATTAGATCCCCTCCCATGTGCTCTAGAGGAGTTTTCAGATTATGCCAAGGAATGATGGGGTAATGAAATATCTAGTGATTGATTTTCCATCTCTGATGTATTTCTAGCCTTAGATGAAATTTAAAAAGCCCTTGCCTGGTGGAAACCAACAGGAAAAAGAAGCATGGGTGTTTCTTTAAAGCAGACATCTATTAAGAAATTTTGATTGTATCCAAATATATACATTTCCAGCTATATATATAGTAGGTCAGTATATAATTTTTGTTGGGTCAGGTTTCATCTTATTAGATAATGTTTTGTTTGATTTTACTCTTTGTTCCCCTGTGTTCTAACTCTTCAAAAGTTAGAACAGTGATTTGGATATTGGTGGGTTGCCACTCCGATTGACTATGCATGAGCCAGAAAGGATGTCTGTCTTTGTCTCTTCCTTCCGGTAAAGATGGGAGAAAGATTGCTGGTTCTATCTATGCTGGTCAGTGATCATAATAAAGATTTTATTTGAGATTTTGGCTTCTCCTAATTATCAAAGTAAAAGCTGCAAGCATCTCTGTAGTCCATGAAACTAGAAGTGCAAAGACAGGATCATGGCAGAATTACTTAAGTAGAGGCGGTCAGACTACTTTCTTCTGTTAGGGCCTAATTTTCTCTTGAACTTTTGGGAGGCCATAGACCAGGAGTGTCAAACTTGCAGCATCACGTGATGTGTTGCAACGTATCACAACTTTTTTTCCATTGCTGGCAATGGGGTGGGCGCGGGTTCTCCATGATGCATCCAGCCCACTGGCTGGCAGTTTGACACCCCTGCCATAGACTAAAGGTAAATGAAGCTGAAATTAGAAGAGGAGGAATCATATGAGGATGGGGTTCTCAGCTCCTTTCTTGGCCAATTACCTTTCTCTTTTTTTATATACATCCCCCCCCCTTCTCTTTCCAACTCTTTTTGGTTACACAATAGGCTGCCAGGGAGGAAAATGATTACTCTTGCCAGAGGAATGAATATGTTGTTGCAGATTTTTTGAAATTAGATTAAGAATTCATGAGATATGATTAAGAAACTTATGTAGTCTGAGATCACCAGATATACAAGTTAAGGCTGTTTTTCTTGTCCCTTTTTACCTCCTGGTTGGACTATGTAATAAGATCTAGTAGGGTAAGTTGTTTTGAAGAGATTGCTTTTGCCCAGTGTATCACCTAAATTAAACAGCGTAATCTAGTGGTTTAGATTATTCCATTCTTTGGTTTGCAAATAAACACATTGCAAACAGTAACACTTCATCTTTTGCAGATAAGAAAAATACGTTCTTTCACTTTTATGTTGAATTCCTAACATTATTTTTCCAAAGATACAGTCCTGAAGTGCCATTGCTCTTGTATGGGCTCACCCATAACCCATTTGCAAGTTGGTGAGTCATTGCATTAGTTAGCACTTAAAAGCCCTTGTGTATGCCAATTAATATTTCTAGCAATTGAGCCATATTGTTTATATTGGAATAAAGAAATGCTTTTTCCACTTCAGACTGAAAGGAGGCTGAATTGTAATGTGAAGGAGTTACTCAAATAATAGAAAAAAGCTCCATTCGTATGTTATGTAGGCATTTCATATTTACGGGCAAGGTTCTTAGATCTCTCAGATAAATTTAAGGGTTTTAAAGGTTAAAGGGTCTATCATAAACAGTAAAAAAAAACTATAAATTATCCATTAATAGAATACCTACGTAGCACTGAAAAAAAATCATAAAAAGCACAACATAATGAAATAGTGTTAATGTGCAACTGCGTGTATTCATGTGTGTGTAGGAGTTGCGCTTTTGTGACTAATGTGAGTGCAACAGTTGCCAACGTTTCACTGGATTATTAACCAAACAGTACTGTTGATTCAGTGAATCTATGTTGTGAGTTTGATGTGGATATTCAGACATGGTTGGATGTGCAATAAAAAAGATGAAATTTGGACTGAGCCAACATCTGGATATATCTGCCAGTAGCTATGTTCTCTGCATAACAATCCTGTTTGCATAACAATCCTGCTAGCATATCTGAATTCATAATAATCTGTTTAATCCATTTACAGTTGCTTGGCTATTCTGTAATAGAAATCTGAGCTTTCAAAATTGAAGACTAAAAATGACAGGTTCAGTTTTGTGATAAATAAGTCATGGGAAATATAAAAGTATTTTTGGTCTTTCTGAACAGAAACCAAGTGCTACACTTTCCAAATAAAGCAGTCCTTTATTTTATTATTATTATTATTATTATTATTATTATTATTATTATTATTATTATTATTATTATTATTATTATTATTATTATTATTATTATTATTATTATTATTATTATTTATTGAATTTTTTTTTACCCCGCCCTTCTCCTTGCGGACTCAGGGCGGCTAACAGCCTGATAAAAACAAATACAAAAAATACCAAAATACTATCAATTAAAAACATAATTAAAATGAAATATTAGATTGTCTTTTGTTATTTTAAAATTATTTTTAAAACCCCGCTAACAATAGTGCTTTATAAACAATGAAACTTAGTTTGAAAAACCTCCCAATAGCTTTCTGTAAAAATGTTAAATAGTTCTCTGTTAACATTTCTTTTTCTGTATGTTCTCAAATGTTCTGGAGAAAATGAAACAACTATCTTTGGAGTTTTTCTAGTGTTTGAGCAAAAACCGCGAGGCTGCTACTTTCTCTGATAAATATATAACAATCAGCAGCTGGCTGTGACGCAATATTACCCCATGTGTGAACGTTGACAAAACTATTGTATTTTTTTCTTATACTAACATAGGTTTTTGAGCTCTTGCTTAATTTTTAGTGCCATAAAGTTGAAATATTTATTTTTAAAGAAAATATATATTCTTTATATTTATACTCTTTATATTCCTGAAACTATTTCTTTAAATGGACAATGACTGGTCTGGTTTTCTAATTGGTCGTAGAAACAATAGTGTTTTTAGGATTAATACAAGTACCCCACAGCCTCTCAGATTTGATTCAGGGCCTCACAGATTATGAGGGCCCTCAATATTAACTAAACTGGTAACAATAATGTGATAAAATAGCCAGCCAATAAAATTTATAAATAAATAAATAATGCTGTAGCAAATACATTACTTCTGTAGCATAGTGACCCTGGAGGAAGTAGAGGCATCAGAAAACCAAGTTATTTATTTACAAAAGGTTGTCTTTCAGGAAAAGGGGGAGGGGGGAAGCACGGGCATGTAAATGCTTGTCGTGATTTGCTTTGGTGGGAGTAGTTTACTTTGGTGTGTTTGTTACAGCTGCACACATTGTTCAATGGAAAACTCCTGATCTTACATAGGAGGCGGATTGCCAACTGATAAATAGGCTGCAGGTGGTGTTTTACAATCATAACAATACACAATGCACACCCTTGTTCAGAATAAGATGGGGTTAGCAGAAAGAGCTCCCAGAGGTAGAAGCAGCAGATAGTTAGTGGGATGTACATAAGAACAGCCAAAGATAATTTGCAGGCAGATTAAACAACAACTGCCCATTCTTTCACTTGTTCTGAAACAATAGTCATCTTTGTTTGCCTTAGGAGGAAGGTTATTTGTAGTAATAGAGCTCCAATTAACCACTCAGGCAATAGCTTAAGGGTAAAAGTGGGTCGTCCATCATTTCTTCCTCTTACCAGTTGTCCATTTTAGACAATTGATTTAAAAACCAAAGTGATGCAGTAAATGTGAACTCCTTGCTGCCATCTAGTGGTCAGGTGGATTAGTGTCCCCCATTGGTTTCCCTGGTTTTTTTGCTATTTGCATCTTGATTCTCCTTTTCTTGTGCCTACTTGTTTGCTCCTTAAGAGCTGCCTTGAATTTTGTATTACAAGTAGCAAACAATGTTCTAAGCTAGCTAAGGCAATGGTTCTTAATCTGAGGTAATTTGAACATATCCTGGGGGTAATGGAGCTATTTTTTAAATTGATTGTTTGTGAGCTGAGGATCCAGTTTAAAACTGCTGCTACTGAGACACTTGGGTAAAAGACTCTGGGTTTTGTAGGGATAGAGATATGGAGGTAACAACATTATTTAAGACAGGAAAAGGGTAACTGGGTCAAAGAGGTTAAGGCCCACTGGGTCAAAGAGGTTAAGGCCCTCCATACTTTCTGGAGTCATCTCCTGAAGGGCCGCAGAGTCCTCCAACACCTAATTATGCCACTGGAACGACATGTCTAATTAATTGAAAAGCATTGGGGTGTCTGTTAAGAGAGAAAAGTCTATTTCAGTGATTCGTGCTTAACTGTTTTTGGTTAGAGGATTTTAAATTTTTCTGTTTATTTTTCTCACCTGGCCCTGCCCTTGTTTATGTATTCAACCAGCTGCATTTTTACTGTTCCTCTCTCAATAAAAATGTGTGTAATCCTCTGCTAGTGAAAGACAGCCCATTCTTTGTGTAGAAACGCAGACAATAAATGGCAGAAATAGACATGGAAAAGCTAGGACAGCAGGCGCTTATCATATATACATGAGGATTTAAAAAAAAAAAAAGTTCAAAGAGTTCTTAAATAAATTCCTGCAAGGTTAAACTTAAAATGTGCCTTCTGTGGAGGGAAAGTATTACTACCTGATTTGCATGAAAGCCTGCTTAACTGCATGAGTTGCTGCAGAATAAAATATTTTAGCCCAAGGTATTTTATAGGTCAGCAGTGAAGACCAGATCTTTCGACTTCTTTACGTTTTCAACAAGGAAGCTCCTCTTCAGAGCATAAGGCTGTTGGTGATAGAGTAAAGCAGCAAATAGGTTGACAACCATGCTTCTACAACATTCTACACAGCTATTTTTGTGTCTGTGTGAAACGGTCAACACTTGCAAGCAGTGCTGAGAAGAATCCTTTTTTTTAAACTCACAGGCCTTAATTGTCCCG